TTGGAAATTTTTGTGGGGCCGATTTTTTTTTTTTTTTTTTTTTTTTTGTTATCAGTAAAGAATCCTGAACATGATGACCTATCGGTGACTCTGTAAGCTGGAGGGGAGATTTTGAGGAGCCGTCATCGAGGAGTGAATGGGGAAGTGCACGGACACAGCTGGGATGTGAGAAAGAAACTATCGAAGAACTAGAAAATATTTGAGTCGTCTTCTGACTGGTTTGTTTTCTTTGATTTGCTGTAATGAATGAGAGAGACAGGAAAGCCACCATTGCCTGGCCAACTTCAAGTCTTTTGTCACTGACCTGGAACTGGCTTGCATATTGGAAAGTCGGAGAGCATCCAGACCGCTGACTATGTCCACCTGTTTTGGTTAAGTGGAGCAGCAGCAGCAGGACGCTGGTGGCGTCGCTGTTCTCCAACCTTCAGGAAGCATATACACAGTGTTAGACTGACAGCTCTGTACAAGAATCTGATTGGCTGCAAGTGTTGCTTTGCAGAGAATTTGAGGCTTAAATTTAGAACTGATTCAATCCATAGCTGCGTGGACGAGGTGTTTTCTGATCTCCGCGGAGTTCAGCTCTAAGCTCTGATAGGTTTGATAAGATTGTTAAGCTTAGTTTTTTCCTGTTTTACTCCCTGTGAGTCATTTCTCAAACTTTGCTGAATTTAAATATTACTTCTTACCACCCACAATCCTTGGAAGAGAAGTGCGAAGAGAGGCTCATTGAGCTTTTTAGGGCATTGGCTATCAACCTGTGAGGTATAGGGGGCCTCCTATGCGGCATGAGGAAGCGATGGACAGAATGGAAGATACAAAGGCCGGGGACTTGGGGGCACGATGGGGGACACGATAGTCGGGGAATGAGGACAGAATGGGGGACACGATGGTCAGGGAAGGAGGACAGAATGGGGGACACGATGGTCGGGGAATGAGGACAGAATGGAGGACACGATGGTCGGGGACTTGGGGACAGAATGGAGGACACGATGGTTGGGGACAGAATGGAGGACACGATGGTCGGGGAATGAGGACAGAATGGGTGACACGATGGTTGGGGACAGAATGGAGGACACGATGGTCGGGGACTTGGGGACATAATGGGGGACACGATGGTCGGGGACTTGGGGTCAGAATGGAGGACACGATGGTCGGGGACTTGGGGACATAATGGGGGACACGATGCTCGGTGACTTGGGGACAGAATGGGGGACACGATGGTCGGGGGCATGGGGACGGAATGGGGCTCGGTGACTTGGGGACAGAATGGGGGACACGATGGTCGGGGGCATGGGGACGGAATGGGGACACGATGGTCGGGGAATGAGGACAGAATAGGAGACCTGTTGCAGTTCATTAACACTTAAAGTTCTTGTCCCTCTCCCAAGCGGTGATTGGATACTGAAAGGAGAAGCAGCAGACTAATGAGCTCCTCTTTGTCACTCTGGTTTTTCCTACTATAGGCATGCTCTTTGTTCAGCACATGAGCGCTCCAACACAGCTGGTTGGCCCCTGGTGCAGCTTCTGTCTAATTCAGCTATTTGCACATTTTCCTGTAGTGGGTGGAGCCTGCTGAAAGTTGTGTCCGGAGTTCAGCTTTTTTACAGACTGGATTTCCTCAGACGCGGGGGCTCCGCTCCAGAGAGGAATGTCGGGTTTGTGGCTCTGGAATAAACATGGAAAGTTTTATTTAATCCATTGTTGCAGGAATTTGGTCTGACACTTCAGATGAGGATTTACATGTGTGTAAAGTATGATTAGAGGTGTCAGTGAGTATAAACAGAAGGATCGGCTCCAGTACAGTGTGTGAGATGTCGGAGGAGGTTCTACCTATAGTACGGAGGGGAGGTGCATGGGGGGCATTATTGAGGTCTGTGGGAGGAACAGCCGGGCTGTGCAGATCCTCATGTCGCTCACTACATTCGTGTATAGATCTGGTTGGTGGGAGCACGGAGAACAGATCTGTACCCATCATTGTATTGAGGAGACTTTATTATTGTTCCTGTGGTTGTGTTCGGTTCTCTACGTTCGGTCCGCTGGTCTAGATGAACCATAAATCTGACCCAAGCCTTGTGCTCGGGATTCCTTCAGTGCTGCAGCTGGTTTATGGCCCAAACCATTCACTTGTCTTCTCTACTTTCCATGCGGCCTGAGGGCTCATTCACACCAGACGCAGTACGTGCCGATCCAATTCTGGCCAGAACGCACTGCCTCGCATTGCGGCCGGCTCGCTTTTTTGTGGGGCAGGAGGGGGGCGTGACGGTCCATTGAAGTGAATGGCACCGTAGCCACGCCCTCTGGCCGCAGTGCAATCGGCCGCACTGGATCGCAAGGCACATTGTGCCTGCAGTCTGGTCCGATCAAAATGCTGCAAGCGCTACTTTGATCGCACCGGACCGCAAGCATAATGTGCCTTGTGATCCCGTGCAGCCGATCGCAAGGCACCATTTTTATTTTTTTTTACCCAAAATGTTTCTCTCGTCTTGGGTCCTGTGAAGATTGTAAGCTCTTGTGGTCCGTGCCCTCTCATTTCTATTTAATTGCTAGGTATGTTGTTCCTTGTGTCATCATTGATGTGTATGTTGTTGGTGCTACAAAAATCGGAGGTAACAATGTTCCTAATAATGTGTTGCAGTAGTTGGGACAGACGGAGTGGATGGTCTGACTGCAGCTGTTGGAACAACCCAAGATGGCAGCCAACAAGAACAAGACCCAGAGTTCCTTGGTGCTACACAAGGTGATCATGGTGGGCAGCGGTGGAGTGGGCAAGTCTGCCCTTACCCTACAGTTCATGTACGATGAGGTGAGTGACTGCTTCCGGTTCTAATAGACTATATGGCCAAAAGTATGTGGACCCCCTCCAAATGACTGAGATCTAATAGACCCCCGATATCTCTATAAAGACAACCTCCTCTCATATCAGGGCTTCTTTCTTCTTTTCCTTCTTTCTTTTCCTTTATTTCCTTTTTCTCTTTCTTTCTTTTTCTCTTCTTTCCTTCCTTCTTTTTCGCTTCGCTTCCTTTCTCTTTCCTTCGCTTCCCTTCTATTTCCTTCGCTTCACTTCTCTTTCCTTCGCTTCACTTCTCTTTCCTTCGCTTCACTTCTCTTTCCTTCTCTTTCTTTCGCTTCCCTCTTTCTTTTCTTCTCTTTCCTTCTCTTTCCTTCTCTTTCCTTCTCTTTCCTTCTCTTTCCTTCGCTTTCCTTCTCTTTCCTTCGCTTTCCTTCGCTTTCCTTCGCTTTCCTTCGCTTTCCTTCGCTTTCCCTTTGCTTTCCTTTTGCTTTCCTTTTGCTTCCCTTCGCTTCCCTTCTCTTTCAGAAAATACATAATCATTGTTTGGGGGTTTAAAGTAATTTTCTATCCAAAAATTCAGATTGTAACGTGCGACAAATGTAACCAATGCTCCGGTACTGAGGTGGTTGTAATACTGAGATGAATTATCCGCTGTGAATAATTGGGGTTTATTATCATATGAAGGGTAGAAATATTTGTTACATTGTATATATTTTATACAGCAATGTGCGTCCGTCACATATCTGCTTCCCCGTTGCAGTTTGTAGAAGATTATGAGCCCACCAAAGCCGACAGCTACAGGAAGAAAGTGGTGCTGGACGGAGAGGAGGTTCAGATTGACATCCTGGACACGGCGGGCCAGGAGGACTACGCGGCCATTCGAGACAACTACTTCCGCAGCGGCGAGGGCTTCCTGCTCGTCTTCTCCATTACAGAGCACGAGTCCTTCACAGCAACAGTAGAGTTCAGGTCAGTTTGAAATGTGGACGCGTTTTAAGATTCGGTCCATCCAGAACTCATATTTCGGAGTTTGGTGAATGCTGAAGGGTTTGAAGTAGAGCTATCCTCCCAAACCTCATTTTAAATAAAGGCGTGCTGCATTGCTAAAATGTTTATGGTGATCCTGCCAGCAACCCCTCCTTCCTCCCGTAGAGTGACAACACTAAAAGGCCTGCAAGTAAAATCACTTCAGCGTGGTCAGCTTCATGGTCCGGTATGCTTAGAAAGAGGGTTATAACTGCTGTCACTGCTGATGGCCGTTGCTGCCAATGTATTCAGTCCAATAGGGTACCCTGTGTCTTGAAGTGAAGCAGGGTGCCCTCTTGGACTCCACCTACAGAGTGAAGACCCTGGAGGATTTGGAAAGTTAAAGCTGATCTCCGGCCTCCCCTTCAGTCTCCTATCTGACCTCCGGCCTTCCCTTCAGTCTTCTATCTCTCCTCCGGCCTCCCCTTCAGTCTTCTATCTGACCTCCGTCCTCCCCTTCAGTCTTCTATCTGCCCTCCGTCCTCCCCTTCAGTCTTCTATCTGACCTCCGGCCTCCCCTTCAGTCTTCTATCTGACCTCCGTCCTCCCCTTCAGTCTTCTATCTGCCCTCCGTCCTCCCCTTCAGTCTTCTATCTGACCTCCGGCCTCCCCTTCAGTCTTCTATCTGACCTCCGTCCTCCCCTTCAGTCTTCTATCTGCCCTCCGTCCTCCCCTTCAGTCTTCTATCTGACCTCCGGCCTCCCCTTCAGTCTTCTATCTGACCTCCGTCCTCCCCTTCAGTCTTCTATCTGCCCTCCGTCCTCCCCTTCAGTCTTCTATCTGACCTCCGGCCTCCCCTTCAGTCTTCTATCTGACCTCCGTCCTCCCCTTCAGTCTTCTATCTGCCCTCCGTCCTCCCCTTCAGTCTTCTATCTGACCTCCGGCCTCCCCTTCAGTCTTCTATCTGACCTCCGTCCTCCCCTTCAGTCTTCTATCTGCCCTCCGTCCTCCCCTTCAGTCTTCTATCTGACCTCCGGCCTCCCCTTCAGTCTTCTATCTGACCTCCGTCCTCCCCTTCAGTCTTCTATCTGCCCTCCGTCCTCCCCTTCAGTCTTCTATCTGACCTCCGGCCTCCCCTTCAGTCTTCTATCTGACCTCCGTCCTCCCCTTCAGTCTTCTATCTGCCCTCCGTCCTCCCCTTCAGTCTTCTATCTGACCTCCGGCCTCCCCTTCAGTCTTCTATCTGACCTCCGTCCTCCCCTTCAGTCTTCTATCTGCCCTCCGTCCTCCCCTTCAGTCTTCTATCTGACCTCCGGCCTCCCCTTCAGTCTTCTATCTGACCTCCGTCCTCCCCTTCAGTCTTGCACAGTTGTACCGGCTCCTCTTCCTCTGATGTCACTGCACACTGGGAGCTCCTCGCAATGTTCTCTCTCTTTTTTCTTTCCTTCCTTTTTTCTTTTCCGAACCGAAAATCTATCATTGTTTTGGGGGTTTAAAGTCATTTTCTATCCAAAAAATTCAGATTGTAACGTGCGACAAGGAACGCCCACTCCTCCCAGACTGAGGCCATCTCTGAGCTTGAGTTGCTCTGTCTGCACGAGCGCTGCGTCCTCGCAAGGGGGCCCGCACTCCCTGTTGGATGTTTTAAAGGAATCCTGGGAAAGCTGAGGGTCACCACAGTCACAGTATTGTACCCCTGTACAGTGCCGGAGCGTCTTCTCACAAGATTTGGGATGCTCGGCTTTCCCAGCATCCCACAGGGTGGCCCGGTGATGAAGCGGCTCTGATCTTTCTGCAAATGTTTTTTCCTCCTTTTTTCTTGTATTCACGGGGAATTTCTCCTTCTCACTGTTGGCGGGCCTTGCATTGTCATAGAACAGGGGGTGCCCAATAGGTCGATCGCGATCTACCGGTCGATCGCGATCTACCGGGCAATCGCGATGAAGTCTGCTCAGCAGGAGGAGACCGGCCAGGCTACGATAAGCAGCATCGTGAAGGAGGAGGTGGCGCTGTATATGTTCGTTTGTCATGGGAGTGGGCGGGAGTTGTGCTGCGCCGGAATGATAGAACACCGGCGGGGCTCGGCTGATCTTTGCAGCTCTGCCAGCACCATGAGTTATGTCTTGGGCAGGGGGGGGGAGAGGGAGGCAAGAGGGAGAGTCTCAGCAGCTAAGAGGACAGGTCTGAAAGAAAGAGGCAGCAATGCTGACAGAGTTTGGCTATTACAGGTAATAGTCTCATACTTTACCTGTCTGATAAGTGTGCTAGGTTTGCCTTTAGGTGACCCTGCACTGTGCGACATTTGAACAGTGGCTGCCGCTGTCAGCACCCTTTCCACGGACATCCCTTGATCAGCTGATTTGAAGGAGCCATTGGGAAAACATTTCTACGACCAGAGCTGGTAGCCAATGAGCTGCCGCCTCTCTGTGGGTATCCTGACGGCGGCCGCCGGCCTCTGTCAATATAAAGAACACGGGTGATTCCTCGATCAAAGTGCTCATAGCATTGATGGAGGAATCTGCTCCTTTTTTTTTTTTTCCGTTCAGCCCGCAGGTTAACCAGAAAAAAAATAGAGCAGTGTATGACCCGCTTTTGGGCCTGTTCAAGCTAGTACAGTGCGTTCATCGCACACTCCTTGGGGATGAAAAACGCACTGTACCGCGAGATCACACCTACCCTGTGTTCTGGTGCAAGAGGTGCGTTGCAATGCCATTTGTTGGTAGATCTCATTGAGCTGGTCATTTGAAAAGTAGATCTTAACACAAAAAAAATTGTGGGCACCCCTGTCATAGAAGGTCGGCTTCAAGTCTCCTGAGGCTTCAGATCACTAGGGGGGAGTGTATGGCAAGGACGACGATACTTCACTTGCACAATGTTAGGCCCCATTCACACACGAATCGGCCGGCACGTACAGCTCCGTGCTGCGTGCGGGGCCGTACCAAGCAGCTGCCGGGAAGGACAGGCGCTGCGTGTGATTAGTACGCAGCCCCCGTCCTTCTCTATCGGGCTACGCTCCCCCCAATTGAATGTCCGTACGGGTGCGGGTGATCATATTCATACGCCGCCGGAATGGATCCTGTATGCGTCCCGGCCAGAAAACCCGCACCCCTACGGACCTGCAATTGAGCTGAGCGTAGGGGGGCGTACGGCCGCGTAGCCCCATAGAGAAGGACG